ATCCTAAAAATGGGCATGCTCCACTCGGCATGATGGTCTGAATGTATTGAGACCAATTATATGATTTTACGATGAACAGATCCTTTTCTTTTTCTTTCGGCTGTAGAATAATAATGAAACCTGAAACTCTGCAGGCAACCTCAGATATAGCCTTGAGAACATTTTGGCGAGCATTAGGTCAAAATTGTTAATGCTTCATTCTTAAATGAGTTGTAGAATCAACTTTAATTCAATAACTTTTAATCACCATGGTCAGATGATGGTCTGGAACAAATTTAGTGAAAATATGATAATCGGTCTACAATTACTTACAATGACGTCTTAAAGTCTGTTGGAGTTGGCCTGGGCCAAGATTACCCCAATAAATTGGACCATACAGTTCAAAAGTTATTAGCATAAACACAATACAATTTTGGACTAGAGGTGGAGCTTTACAGCATGAGTTAGAGGGTCCAGATTACTCATAATGGTCAACTAATTTTCATAACTTTCCTGCAAGCGGTTCTTAGGGCTGCCACTCATGAACTTGTGAAAATCACTATAGCCATGTACTACCGTAGTTATTTTTAGAATAAAACCATCAAAATGATCAATTATTTGAGCGATAAAAACAATACGGTATTCCAACAGAATGAAGTAACGAGGACATTATAAAATCATATTTTCTTTGAGGAGCATGAAGAATTAACAACACTTTATAGAAAGTGAAAGAACCTGTGGATGTGTCAAGAGAAATTCAGGACAGTTCCAAAGAATAAAGGATTTTTCCAGCTTTTTAAAAATTACTTTATTTACAAAATGATTAATGAGGCAATTTTCACTACTTTTTATTATTCAGCCAAGTCACGGAGTTAACAATACATGGAGTATTTATCTAAACGTTACTGCATTAAGAGAGAGAGAGAGATAAGAAGAATGATACAAATACAAAACAAAAGTTATTCAAAATTAAGTAAAAAAAGGGGAATAATATGCACTTTTGTCTGACAATCACAATCTATCTATGAACAGAACAGTTTCTTAAAGTCTGCTGCATTTTCTACACATTTAAGCAAAAAGTAAATACAAGCTAAAAGAATTAAACACAAAGTATGATATAACTACAAAGCTAAAGTTTGTAAACAAACTTTGATGTTGGTTTGTGAAAATGCCATTTAAACATATTTTAATGTTCCCAATAACACTATATGAATAACATTAACCAACCCCATGTCTATATGATTTTTATAAGGTGATTTCTGAAAGTATTGTTGCTAAGGTAAACATTTTGGTTGGTATGGAGAGGTAAGTGACAATGTTAATTACCTTTGTCACTATAAGTTATACAAACCAACCCCCATGTCTTTATCATTTACCAAAGTTAAGATGGAGTTCAGAAAATATTGTTACTAGGGTAAACAATTTGGTTGCTATGGAGAGGTAAGTGACATATGTTAATTACTTTTGTCACTATAAGTTATACAAACCAACCCCCATGTCTTTATCATTTACCAAAGTTAAGATGGAGTTCAGAAAATATTGTTACTAGGGTAAACAATTTGGTTGCTATGGAGAGGTAAGTGACATATGTTAATTACCTTTGTCACTATAAGTTAAACAAACCAACCCCCATGTCTTTATCATTTACCAAAGTTAAGATGGAGTTCAGAAAATATTGTTGCTAGGGTAAACATTTTGGTTGCTATGGAGAGGTAAGTGACCTAATGTTAATTACGTTTGTCACTATAAGTTATACAAACCAACCCCCATGTCTTTATCATTTACCAAAGTTAAGATGGAGTTCAGAAAATATTGTTGCTAGGGTAAACATTTTGGTTGCTATGGAGAGGTAAGTGACATAATGTTAATTACGTTTGTCACTATAAGTTATACAAAATAACCCCCATGTCTTTATCATTTACCAAAGTTAAGATGGAGTTCAGAAAATGTTGTTGCTATGGTAAACATTTTGGTTGCTATGGAGGGAAAGTGGCATAATGTAACTTTGCTTTTTTCACTATGATTTATACAAAACAACTCCCATGTATCTATCATTTACCAAAGTTAAATGTACAGTTCAGGTCAATGTGGTTACTAGGGTAAACAGTTAAATTAATTAAACTTAAACTTAATTACCGGTAGTTAATTTGTTTAAAATTAAATGTGCATTATTTAAATTTGTCTATGATTAAAGTAAATACAATTTTCTGTTTTAATTTAATTTCTCTGCGATGTCATCTTTAATATGATATTTTGATGTCTTTGTTGCCTTTTCCCATTTCCTTTCAGTGGCCATTGTAAGTTAACAGCAAATATTTACCCCCTTCCAGAGCCTAGGGTTCAAATACTTGTGCACAGTGCTTGGTATGTTCTTGCACATACTGCTGACCTCTTCAAATGTGGTCAGTTAACAAAAGTCAAATAATATTATGTTTTCTTTGACAAGCCAACAGAAAAATGTTAGCGAGCGATTTTTAAAGCTGCACTTCGCATGTAATGATCAAGTGTTTCTGCCAATATTAGCATCCGAGTTTCCCACACACGTGATTCAAGAATAAAGCTGGTAATTCATCATCACTATTTTCCTAAACATTCCATCCTCAAATGTTATTAACCTGAAGCAGACTCTCAGCTTGCGTGTGTAATATCAGGCTGGTGAGAAATATAGATATTCATCATAGAAACCATAGTTCACTGGGAAGAGAGGAATGAAGAGAGATAACCTCCCTCTAGTATGTTGTGCATGTGGGTTTTCTCAAAATGTTATCTGGTATGAAACATTACTACTTTTGTAACCTCCACGCAAAGAATAAAAAACCATCAATAAAAAAGACTTAAACAAATCAAAAGATTTGCAGACGAGCTGAGGGTGTCATTATTGTCTTTGCGCCTGTTTCCTTTAGCGAAGCTAGCATGGCACTCTGCATTCAACAGGACTTGCAGAAAACAGAGACTTTTTGGCTTTACCACCAAAGTTTGGCTTTCAGATTATAGCTCAAAAATAGAAAAGGAATGTTTTTCTATTTTTCAGCTGCATGCAAGCCACACATCACCAAGTGCACATCACAGAATACAGTGGTATATAGCATGCCACCACTGGGTTTTAGAGGAGCGTAGATGCAATCTCTGTAATGAAGAATTACATTCTCCATGCAAACCAAGTCTCGATTAGTCGTTGCCAGTTACTTGTCCTGTTTTTTTTTTACTTCTTTGCTACAGTGAAAGAAACTCGTAACCAAGAGATTGTGGGCAATTTCGTACTTTATCGTCAACACAAAACAAAGCCATCTCCTTAAAGTGAGGTTAGTATGGAAGACCCCGACTGGCTGGAAAAGAGTTCTGATGTCAGGTAAAGACCTTGTGCTAAACCTTCCAATATCAGTGACCTCACAAATGTACTCCGGTCCAACATTTCTAAAATTATATGAAGTCTTTTCGGAGTGTATTAGATCACACTCTAAATAGAGTTTTTTCATCATATGTTTAATGCGTTTTTCCATTTCTATTTTCAAATCTGTGAGTGAAAACTTTTATTTCTATAAATGTAATACCTCATTAACCCTTAAAAGTTTTTGACTACGCTTTGCGTAAATTACTTAAATTCGTTAAGTACTGATGGTGTACCCCCACCTCTCGCCCGATGTGCCCTGGAGATAGGCACCGACAGACCCCCGTGACCCCAAAAAAGGGAATAAGCGGGTTAGAAAATGAATGAATGTGTAGGTTTCAAAAAGGTTATTAGTTTTGATATTTTTGGAATTAAATAAATATTACGAGTTATGACATAATTTGCAAAGTAATTCAAGTTAAAATGTGAGATAGTCTTTCAGTTTTGTTTTTCGGACCACAAATTGGTGCCATCAGTACCATCTACTGCTGAAAAGAAGATATAGCCCTTGGGAGTACAAGACCTGTGATATGGCTTGTGTTTTTCAAAATTCTGACACAAAACAAAGCACAATATCAATAAAAAAGTCCTTGGAACAAAGTATAAGGAGAGGTTCATTGGTTGTTTTGACCTTGTCTTTGCTTTTTTGGGGGATGTATCAATTCTCAACACTTTTGATTTTCGTAATAAAACATAAAAACTGTTAATTATAATTTTTTAATTTTTTGCAATACAAAAATTTTCTTTCTTTTTCTACAATTCCAGGATCATTGTGCAATTATTGTGTAATGTAATGAAAGAATATTTGTAAAAAAAAAAAAACAAAAAGGCTCCAGACTTCAAAGGGTTAAGAATGTGACGCTTCTAATGGCAGATAAGGGAATCATTTAAAGTTTAACTTCTAACTTTAAAGTAGTAATATTAGTTAACTAAGTGTTAAACCTGCAGTGAACAGTGGCACAGAGGGTTGTACTGTGGCCTTTTGGCAAAAAGGTTCCCGCTTCAAAGTTTCCTGGAAGGAGTTTGCATCAGGTTCATTGGATAATTCCCCTTAGGTTTGAATGTGTGTGTTCCCTGTCCAGGGTGTACCCCCACCTCTCGCCGGAAGGGTGACCCTTGTTGCCCACAAAGGGAAAGAAGATGAATACATTTTTCTAAAATTATGTTTTTGTTCAGGATTTTCACCTTCCAGTAGCGGAAATGTGTGATTCAGTGGAAGGAGTGGATTTTGTTGGGAATTCAAACACACTAATGTGTACCTGCACATCAGAAAATACTGGTCACTAAATAGTTTCAGTCTCAGATGATCACTTTCAACCAAATATTTGAGCAAACTGTTGTTAAATAACTCCTAAAACTTGTTTGTTTTCACACGAAGTAAAGCTTAGTTTCAGCCTTTTTAGTTAGTCATTAAGGGTTGGGCATCTTCTCTGCAGGTTGACTCCGGTTGCCATTCTTGGTCCCTCTCAAACTCTGTGTAGAGGTTTTGTTCATTGTTCTGCTGTAAAAAAAAAAAAAGCACATCGCCACAATTTAATAAAATATAACTTCACTGTAAAAAATTGATTGTGGGGCTGGATGCTGTATACAAACAAAATAAACAAATTCCTATCATTCCAAAATCCCAAATTCCTTTCTTGTGGCTCAGTTGGTAGAGCATTGCGCCAACAACGCAAAGGTCGTGGGTTCAAGTTTCAAAGCAAAAACTGAAAAAAAATAAAAATGTGTCCATTCTTTCAAATGTAAGTCGCTTTGGATAAAAGCTTCTGCCAAATGAATAAATGTAAATATAATCATAAAAAATCAGTTTTAAGGAAAGTTTTGAGGAATTTATTGCAGGCTCCGGTCCTGTAATGGTGTGCACGGTGAAAATCAGCGAATCATGAGACATTTTGGAACCTTTCCACTTGGATATTAAACACATCCAAGTGATAATTTCATTGCTGATGCATTCCTTCGTGTATGAATTATTTGGTGCATGTTCCAATTCTGTTTTCTTTCGAGAGGTTTTAAAAAAATAAGTATTAATTTATATAAAAAAAAAAGATTGTTTGAAATGTTTGAATTCGTTACTGTTTTTTTCGCACTTTGTTTGGGATGGAGGTGTGACGGCCCTCTATCATCATGAAGAGACTGTTTCTGAAGGGATTGTTGGGGAGTGATGTCATCCCATCCTCACCTGACCCTCGTTATTATCACTGGTTTAAAGTAACTGATTACAAATACTCAAATTACTGTAATTGAGTAGTTTTACAAATGTTTACTTTTTCTTTTTCTCAAGTACATTTCTAGTTCTGTATCTATTTTACCGCACTACATTTCTTCAACCTGCCTCAACTTTTTTTTTCTACAGTGATTGGCACCTATCCCGTCCAATTAAATTACTTATAAAGAAATGATCCCCAAAAACAAGATCTAGTGAATGTAACCAATACAATAGCATCACATAAATACAATCAGAAGAAATGGAAATTAAGTTCAATTATGAAGCATTTATTCTTTCTCATTCTCTCTTTTTCATATCACTCTTTCTCTCTCATTCTCTCTATTACGCTCTTGTTCCTTCTCTCTTCCTTTTTCTTTGCTCTCTATTTTTCTCTTTCTCCCCCTCTCTTTCTATACTTTCACTCACATTTTCATTCTTTTGTTCTCTCAATCTATCCATCTCTCTTCTTTTTTCTCTCCTTTCTTTTTCCTCAAGCTCGCTCTCACTCTCTTCTTGCCATCAACTCTTTTCTTTCATGCTCTCCTTTTTTCTCTTTTCACTCTCTCTTCTCTTTCTCTCTCCCTCTTGCTCTTTCTGTTTCTTTCTCTTTTCACTCTCTCTCTCTTTTTACCTCTTCTCTATTTCTATCTCGCTTAGAGACACCCTTAGGAAAATGGCTCTGATGTGATACTCACTACTCTTGAGTAGTTTCAGAAGAGCTACTTTTTACTCGTACTCTGAGTCGTATTTAGAACAGACGCTTTTACTTTTTTGGGCAAGTATTGGTACTTTTACTCGAGTATTAATTTTCAGTACTCTTTACACCACTGGTTATTATTGTGTTGAGTTCGTCACACATTTATATGAGTTGGAATTACGTTGTTGGTGGAACCCCAGAGCATTTTAGTGGCATCTTCATGTGGGAGGCTCTGGAGGGTCCCCCTCTCTTTGTTTTCTCTTTTCATTTCATGTTTGTGTTTCATGTAACTTGTTTAGTATTCTCCTTATTTGTATTGTTTGTTAAAACCCTAGACTTTTCTAATGTTTTCTGTAACACTGTAGAATCCTTAGTTAACGCAAAACTAAGAGGTTGCTACAGAACCAGTGCTTAATTTGTTCCGCCGTTTGCCGGAACGCAATCCGTTTTCTCTCAATTTCTGGCTTCCAAGGATCCGGAAAATTTTATTCTGGGATCCGGTAATTATCTGACCCCATTTGTCTTTATCTGCCCAATTCCTGCCCACCTTTTTCACTCTACTGTACTACAATGCATTCCCCCGACTCAAGAATATACAGAGCACTCGCCTATGGTGTGCCAGGCTGCCTTCGTCGTAGGCTGGTGCTGTCCCCTGCAGTCGGCAGGCCGGCCCGTATTATGTGGAAATTAGCGATTAGATAAAAATATTATAAAATAAAATAAAATAATTAATAATTATTGTGTTAGTGTTTTCTTTATTGTGCATTGTATAATGTAAAAAAATAATAATAATAATAAATAAAATGCACTACTAGCAAGTCTGAAAAGGCTGCTGCTGGGTAATTTACGTCCTGTACGTAACTTATTTTTAGGCGGCATTTGGCCAAAACAAAAAGTGTCCTGACTCCTTCGTGCTAACATGTCTAAAAGACAATCAAGTTTGCTTTAGTTTTTTAAAAGAAACGAAGACTCAAGTCATGTTGCTCCAAAGCAAGCCAGAACTGCAGTGCGGGCTGCTTCTGGTAGTACCAGTGCAGATGACCACAATGCTAACCGGGTTCACACAGTGGAGGGTGAGGCAGAGGCGGCCACTACAACGACAGCTATCCCGGCGAGACTTCAACAGCGGGAGTTCGAGGCTTCAGCGACCGGACCTTCTAAGACGGTATTTTACACCGGAAAAACAGATTATGGGTGAACTAGCAGCTAATTTGGGGCTTTTCAGCAGGGAGAGGGCGAGATGATATTGAAGATTAAGATAAATTGTGTTGAAAGTAATCTAAAGGTTTTTTGTGTGTATATGTCTTAAATTATGTTGTAAATGATGTTTGTAAGTCCTGCTGCTTAAGCGTAGGCATGTTAGACACTGAACCATTGCGTTCTGTTTGTGTTCCAGCAACTGTTTTGGGCCAGCCCCCCTGTCCGTCACCCCAGTCATGTTGTGTTCCAGTAACTTCAAATTTACAAATTAAGCACTGTACAGAACTAACCAGTAACTATCTAGTAACTCTGTCGTAACGATTGTTACCAACTAGAAAGTTACTATTACTGAGAAACTATTCAGTAACTAATGTCAAAGTAACTACTGTAGTAACTACCCTTAACTATCAGTAACTATTGAATATATACATAACTACCATTAAGAAACCAGTAAATACTGTTTTCTTTAAAATTCTGTGTTGTCTCTTTACAATACTCTTCCAAGTACTTACTAGTTCCATGATAACTATGTGGTAACTAATCAGTAGTTACCAGAGGACCAGATATTTACTTTTCGAGGATCTCCTGGAACTACTGAATAGTTCTGGGAACTATGTAGTATATGGAAGAGTATTCTAAAGTGACAACACATAATTTTTGAGATAACAGTAGTTACAGATTCGTTAATGGTAGTTACTTAGGAGTTAAGTATACATTTAATAGTTACTGAGAGTTAAGGGTAGTTATTACAGATTACTGTGACATTAGTTACTGAATAGGTATTTGTAACTTTTTATTATGTAACACTAGTTACTGTATAGCTACTTGATAGTTACTGGTTAGTTCTGTAGTAGCTACCTCTTAGTTATATGTTAACTAAGGAAGAGTATTCCTTTTTCTATCCTATCCTGTTTTCTTTATGTTTATCTAACTGCATAAATCCTTATATTTGTGGACCCTTCTCCTCATGTTTTAGCTCTTTGCGCGGGTTGTAACATAAAATTGGAAGTTATGGAACTAAAACTATAAAATATTTGGAAATGTAATGGATTTTTTAAATGTTAAACAAAAGCGTCTCATTAGTTGTGTTATACTACCATCTAGTGGTCATTTAGAGACATAGAATTTTTTAAACTTTAGATCTTTAGTTCTTAAATCTTTTTATTATTCTTTAGTTATTAAATCTACTTATTATTCTTCTTTTTATTATCATTATATTCAGACTGATATACTTATTACATTTTAGTGTTTTATTAGTTAAAGGTAATGTTAAATGGGTTTATTGTTGAGAGGGAGGAGAAAACCTTAGAGCACACGTCATGCTTTAGTACCGCCCATGGAGGTGGATATAAGTTTAGGTGAGAACATCTCGCTCTCTGTGCTCTCCGTGCTCGACTCGTTTGAAACTCGACTCTCGGCTCGCCACGCTTCTTCATCCACGATCTTATAATTGCACCTGCGTAAGATGCATTGATTCTGTTTAATATCTTTACAATAATTAGCCGTAGTTGCTGTGTTCCTCTCAAACGGTCTCCAGTGTTTATTATCAATAGAGAAGGTATTTTATTACCATAACAGAAATACAAGCAGTAATTCCAACAACGGTGACCCATCACTTCAGAGTATAGAGTTCCAGAAGTCTTCGCGGACGACACCCGTGCATGGCATTCCTCTGCATTTGGCTTTCTTCTGCTCTAGCTAACAGCAGTGAACTTGCAGGTGATTTTCTTCAACCCTTCTCACCGAAAGACTTGTCGAGATGTTAAGCTTTTGGATCACTACAGTATTTTGTTCATTATTTAAAGTTTTGCAGATTTTTTTGTAGCCCTAACATTTTTGTGTAAAGAAATGATTTCCTTTCTCAGATTTTGTGACTTTTTTTCTTCCATGGGGAGCCATTGCTGACACCATGAAATGGTGAATGGCTCCTAATTAGAATGTTGTCATCTTAAGTGTGGCTTTTCTTCCAAGACTATAACTGGGGTGTCATTTTTTCAACATGGGCTTGAATGGATTTGTGAGGAAATTCATTATATTATACTAAATTGATTATATTATACTGATTGGTCATGTACTTTACAGTTTTCTCTTTTTGGATTTAATCTGTGAAAGCTTTCTCAAAGGTGAGGGCTGAATCAGTACTTTGGAGAAAAGCCGGATGCAGTGCAGAAACAATACTTCCATGTTTACCTGACAGTGCTGCTTGGGCAGTAACTTCTCAATCATGTTTTGAACGTCAGCAAACATCGGGCGCTCTGTCGGTTCCAGGCTCCAGCAGATTTGCATGATCTTGTATCTACAGCGGATTGTATCAATTAAGCAAATGTACTAATTACAAACTGCTTATAAACTTACAATTCATCAGGGGCAAAATCAGGCTGTGGCATGTGATAACCATCTTTGATCATCTTATAGAAGTGTGCATCGATCACAACATTGGGGTAAGGGCTCATCCCTACAACACAAACACAGCAGAATACAGCTGCAGATTATTTTATATGCGATATTTGTTATTGTTATTATTATTATTATTCGTAAATTCTTCACCTAAAGAAAAGATCTCCCACAGCAGGACTCCGTATGACCAAACATCACTCTGTACT